AGTATATATTTTGAAAATATTTACATGTATTTACATGTATATATTTATATTCATAAAATGTATATTATATATAAATATATTTAATATATAAACATAGCATATTTTTCTGAAATATATACTGTATGTGTGTATTTATATATACATAATAAATATACACAGTACACACACATATACTATGTAAACAAAAACTTTTATTTTGAATGCGATTAAGCACTAGTTCTTTCATAACATATGTTCCACCACAATTTAATGTTTTAATAGGAAATACATCAAATACATCAGATTTGAATCTGAGTGTCCTGTTGCAGATGAAAAATCAAAGAGTTGTTTGTTTGTTTACTGAGGAAACAGGAAGTGCACTGCTTAATGTCAACAGATCGCCTTTGAAACGGGTCTGTGTGCTGCTAATGCTCTTACTGAGAGAAACAGGTGAAGATGAGACGAGACAGAGCGTCTGAAAGCAGATAACAGCAAAGATCAAACAGAAGAAAAACACACAGTGACAGAAAGACTGTCCACACCAACACAGAGAAACTCTGAGACAGATAGAGAGAGAGATTCAAAGGGTCAGAGGAGGAAACCTGACAAGAACACGTCTGGATTGTACTTTACCCAAAGATCAAAGGAAAGAAATTAGGTTATTTATTTATTAATAATTTATTAATTAAATTAATAAAAAAAAAACAAGTATATTTTAAGATCCAATTTATATTTAAAAACATTAATGTAATTTTACTGTTTGTATTGAAATTTATTAAAATTATACTTTAAATTGAAGCAGTATATAAGTATTTTATTTGCAGCAATTTTCATTAATTCACTGTGAAAAACTTATATTGCGTCAATAATAAAGTACAAAATTTGTACTGAATTTAATGTAAATATATGAAAATATTACATAAAATACAGTACAAAAAGTAAAATTACATTAATATTTATATTGTAATTTAGTAATTTTATAATAATTACAATAATTTAAGTTAATGAAAATGCTATTTTTAGCATTAAAGTTGCATTCATATTTTTCATTTAACATTTATTTTAATGTAATTTGAGTAATTTTACAATAATGTTAAAAAATATTTTTCTGGAAATATTTCCAGCATTAAAATTACATTAATATTTTTTTATTTTAAAGGGGTCATATGATGCGATTTCAAGTTTTGCTTTCTCTTTGGAGTGTTACAAGCTCTTGGTGCATAAAGAAGATCTGTAAAGTTGCAAAGACTAAAGTCTCAAATCCAAAGAGATATTCTTTATAAAAGTTAAGAGTCAGCCACGCCTACCTAAAACGGCTCGTTCTAACACGCCCCCACATGTCTACCTCACTATGTGGGAAGATTTGCATAACGCCGTTTGTTGCTGCCGCCATGTCGTGAAGACGCCGTGTGTTTCGTTGTGAAAGTGAAACTACTTTGTTTGGCCTTCCAAATTTTTACTACATTTATTTAATTTTTTACAAAGTAAATTATAAAAATAATTAATTGTTAAATTGTAAATTATACATTACAAAAAGTAAAATTACATTAATATTTTTGTTGTAATTTTAGTAAATTTACAATAATGACAATAATTACAATAATGAGATTTTTTTCTTGTTGAAGTAAACGAAAATGCTATTTTTAGCATTAAAGTTGCATTCATATTTTTCATTTAACATTTATTTTAATGTAATTTGAGTAATTGTACAATAATGTTAAAAAATATTTTTTGGAAAATATTTCCAGCATTAAAATTACATTAATATTTGTCTTTATTTTAATTTTAATTTAAGTTTAAAATAAACTACAATAATGAGAATGAGAATTTGCTGCAATGTAAAAAAAAAAAAAAAGTTGATATATCACTTTGATTATTTGAATGATCACTTCAAAAATTTTTACTACATTTATTTAATTTTTGACAAAGTAAATTATTAATTGTTAAAATTGTTAATTATACATTACAAAAAGTAAAATTACATTAATATTTTTATTTTAATATTAATCAGTCTATTTTTCAATTATTTTACAATAATGATTTAATAAGGATTTTTTTTTTTCTTTTTAAGTAAATGAATGTTGTTTTGTGCAACAGAGATTAAGCAATATTTGTGTCACAGTCATGAGAATTTAGTGTTAAATGTGCCTAATTGTCATGAAAATAACATCACAATGCCTTTCAGGCTTCATTTTCTTCACCTAAGACCTAGATTGGTATTTCTTTCCTCTGGTTTCGTGGTGAAACTGGAGCTGGTTTGTTCGTGCGATTCACCCATGCAGAGATAAATGAAAGGAGAAAGAGAGAGCGCAGGGAAGAGATGAAGGCAGACAGCTGTGTTTTTGTGGTGCTATTTTGAGCGTCTGGCCGCTGCTCTACTCCCCTGGTCTGGCCCGGCCTATTTCTGTCCTGGGCTGGTCCTGCTGCTATTCTTGGCACCTGAGAGAGAGAGAGAGAGAGACAGAGACAGCGCGGTTAGGAAGAGTAACAGAGAGCGAAAGCGTGAGACAGAGGCTGAGAGGCAGGAACAGAGAGCTGTGACGTCTCCTCGCTCATCTACCTGCTAGAGGCACAGACACAGAAGCCCCAAGGACTCTGCACAGGACAGGACCGGAGCAGAGGACGCCGGGCCGCTGAAGCTCGAGTTATGCTGCAGACCATTTATGAATCTGACTCCAGCATCAGTGCAGAGTGGAGGAGGAGACGCCTGGACTCTCACAGCACGGCCATGGCTTCAGGTACAGCGGCAGAACTCGCTGCAGTCTATCAGGTGCTCCGAGAGAAACTTCTGATGCAACGTTGCAGTGTTTAACAAATGAGTCGTTGATCTTCAGTATAGAGCTGTTTGTCTACACCGCAAAAACCAAGCCTTTTTGTATTGTTTTCCAGTACAAGTATCAAAACATTCTTAAATATTGAGAAGCAAAATAACATAAAATGTAAAGTTTAGTTTTCTGAAAAATCTGTCAAATTCAAGTGAGTTTATACTTTAAAATTGGCAATGGGGTGAGAAAGATAAAACTCATTTTCCCTTTGAATGAAGTTAAATGTTCTTACCCCTTCGGCAGATTTTTAAATCTTGTTTTATAAACTTTTTTTTTGTTTGTTTTTAAATATTTTTAGTTCTCCTGAGGAATTTTAGGAGAAACACCAAGGCTAATTTGTAACTGAAACAAATGTTTAAACTATATAAAAATTAATTATGTTTTGTATGGTACTTTTATTTTATTTTATTATTGTAACTAAAATTCAAATCAAAATAAACTGAATTCATTACAAATGTTTGTATTTTATAATTTAAATAATAATGTATATTTTTTATCATTTAAAAATTTTATAATTTAAATATTTTTCACATTGCAGTAATGAAAATTCTCATTTTTCTGATTTATCTAAGAAAATCAATCAACATACAGTGTAAGATAGACAACTGTGACATTACAGAGGTCTCCGTAAATAAAAAAAAAAGTAAAAAAAAAAAGAGAAAAAAAAGACACAAAAAATGTTATAGCAAGATTATAAGAGTTATAAAATGAACATGGAGCAGCTCACATCATTTGATGAGAAAGTACAAAAAGTTGAATTAAATTAAATTTTGATTTGAATTTGACTTTCAATAAAAAAATCAGATAAAGTACAATACAAAAAGTACATTTAGTCAAAATAAGAATTTATTCATTTAATTAATGTATTAAGTTATAACAATTTTATGTAATTTATTTTAAAATGACTCAAATGTAATTTTAAACGAATTACAAGTAATGAGAATGACAATTTGGATTATTGCAAAGTAAAAAAACTTTGATATACTGCAATATAAAAAGTCAAATTACGTTAATATTTATCATTTTTAAATGAATTTTATTTGCATAATTTACAAATCAGCCCCTGTCTCTGATGTTTCTCCTAAAATTCCCTCTGAGAAATAAAAAAAGCACAAATAGTTGTCATGTAGTAAGAGAATAGAGCTATAAAACGAATGTGGAGAGATGGTTTGCTCTTGAGAGAAGTGATGAGAAGAGTTTGAGTTCGTATGGAGATCTCTGCTGTATTTGTGACGTGAGTTTTGCACATCAGAGTGTGTGTGGATGATTCAACAGCTCTTAACCAGGTCAAATCTAGATCCAGACGCCACTGATAGCTCCATGTTTTCTTTCATCTCACAATCATTGTATGGTTTTTCAAAAGCAAGTGACTCACATCAAATGAATGGCGGCAAACTCCCTTTTGCAATGTTTTGGTATGTTAGCTTACTTACGGAATACTCTGAAGTATATACTGCATACTAACTATTAAAAAACACATATACCCTTACGAAAAAGAAGTTTATTCAAGTGTGCTATTAGTATACTTCTTTTAAACTAAAAAATAGGAAAGTATACTTTTAGTCTACTTTTTATGTACTTCTCAGAAATGGGCTTTCTGTACTTCTCAGAAATATACTTAAAATGACATTTAAGTATACTTGACTTATACTTAGAAAAAGTCTAAATATATTTTTAGCTATAATTGTGCTCCTAGAATCCGTGATTTCATTGTTATACTGTAGGGGGCGCTAGTACACATTTTCTGTACAGAATTTCCAAAAAACACAAGTGAAGAAGAAACCGAAACAACAGATCCTTCCACATGTATTCTAACACGATCATCAGACATAAAACAGCATCAAAACTATGTAACATTATGGAATAAAATGTCGACCAATAAAGAGGTAATAATAACTGTCAAGCTTTGGGGTGTTGATCGACCTTATCTACGTTTTGATTATCATTCTGAATCCAATTCATAGTCTTTTTTCAGCTTTTTGTTCTTAATAAAATAAACTTGAAGTATACTACTTTTTGGTAAGGGTAGTAATCTGAATTGTGCTGTGATAAACATTTTAATCATTAGCTTGCTAAATTGTCACATTACCTCAATAGTTTGTGAATTTTATTAAAAGAGTGGCAGTTATTTTGTATTTTTAATGCTTTTTTTTTATGCAAAGCCATCTTAACTTTTGGCGATCCTGTTAAAAATGAGTCAAGCAGGAGATATTAATAGGTGGGTGTTACTTCTGGTTCATTCATCACACTGGAAATGGAAAGTCAGGCTGAGCGCATTGCATTGTGGGATACAGTACCTCATGCATTGTGCTCTGTTGTATACTTAAAACAAGAAAAAATATCTGCCAGTGGGGTCAGAAAAATAAACTGAATTCAAAGGGAAAGCTAGATTATTACCTCACTGACAGATGATGACGATTTTTTATTTTCTTTAAAGCATAAACTCACTTAATTTAGATGTTTTTTAAAGAAAAAAAAAGGCTTGATGCCATTTTCCTTATGAAATAAATGTATATCTTGATTTAAGAATTTTGCTTGTAAGGGAAAACATGACAAAAATACTTCTTGCACTGCAGTAAGAGAAATACGGTAGTATGCTTCCAAAAATAGCTATTGATTATTGAGTCTAGCAGCTTGTCACTCGTCATGTTAACAGTGCAGTGATGTGATCTTTACTCTGTTTTTAGCATCTCCCTTACCAAAAAGTAGTATACTTCAAGTTTATTTTAGTAAGTATACTTAAGTAAAGTTCAAGTATATTTTTAAGTATACTTTATGTAGTAAGTATACAAATATCAGTGTACTAGTAGTATACTTGTAATTGTACTATTTCAATACTCCTTGGGACTAAATTGGCCCACTTTCTAGTATATAAAAGTATACTTTTAAGTATACTTTAAGTATAACAGTAGTAAACTTTGAGTACACAACTAGTTTACATCAAAATGTTTAGTTTGTACTGCAACTATACTAAAAGTGAACTTACAGTTTACTAATAAAATACTTGTAGCATTTTTAGTACACTTTGAAGTATAGTCTCAGTAAACTACTAGTTTAGTAGTTTTATACTGCAAGTATACTCGTAAGTTTTCTTTAAGTGAACTTTACATCATACTTTAAGTATACTACTATGTCCCTATTTAGGTATTACTTTGTATATATTTTGTTACATGAATATCTGAACATACAAAACATCAAAAGAACAGGGTATCTGCTTGTAAATAAAAACATTTTATTCTAGCTTCATGCATTCTTTTTTTAAACACTTGAATGTGGATACGTTTCATAAATAAAAAATAAAGAAATAAACAACATTTTGAACAAAAAGCTGAAAAAAGACTATTAATTGGATTCAGAATGATAATCAAAACGTAGATAAAGTCGATCAACACCCCAAAGCTTGACAGTTATTATTACCTCTTCATTGGTCGACATTACATCAACTTTACACAGTTTTGATGCTGTTTTATGTCTGATGATCGTGTTAGAATACATGTGGAAGCATCTGTTGTTTCGGTTTCTTCTTCACTTGTGTTTTTTGGAAATTCTGTACAGAAGATGTGTACTAGCGCCCCCTACAGTATAACAATGAAAACACGGATTCTAGGAACACAAGTATAGCTCAAATATATTTAGACTTTTTCTAAGTATAAGTCAAGTATACTTAAATGCCATTTAAGTATATTTCTGAGAAGTACAGAAAGCCAATTTCACTTGAATAAACGTCTTTTTCGTAAGGGCTGTTGTCTATGAGGAGTTGTTTCTCTCAGACCTTCCTCCAAGTGCGTGTGTGTGTGTGTGTGTGTGTTCCATTTAGCATATTTCTGCTATGCACTGAATGTATGGCTGCTGATGCGAAAGTGCATGCTATAAAAAAAGACCTCTTTATCACAATCAATTAGCCTACTTTATAACCTGCATTCTTTGCCATTTTTCTTCAAATAAAAAGGTCATGAAAAGTGATCTGGAGGCACAGATTGTAATATTGCACACTATTTAGCATGGATAGTCTGCAAATTGGGACACAAGCAATGCATTAAGCACAATAAACTACTGGTCAGTACGATTTCTACCTTTCTTTGAAAGAAGTCTCTTCTGCTCACCAAGGCTGCATTTATTTGATCAAAAATACAGTAAAAACTGCAAAACTGTGAAATAATATTGCAATTTAAAATAGCTTTTTTTTCTATGTGAATATATTTTAAAATGTCAGAATTTTCAGCATCATTACTCCAGTCTTCAGTGATTCTTCAGAAATCATTCTAATATGCTGATTCGCTGCTCAAGAAACATTTCTGATTGTTATCAACGTTGGAAACAGTTGTGCTGCTTAATATTTTTGTGGAAACTGTGATGCATTTTATTTTTCAGGATTCTTTGATGGACGGAAAGTTCAAAAGAACAGCATTTATTTGAAATGGAAATCTTTTGTAACATTATAAATGTCTTAACTGTCACAAGCATTCATTTTGAGCACTAAACTTCTGAATGGCAGTGTATTGTCAGGTCTAATCAGCGTTTAGCCGGTGGATGCGTGTTTACTTCATACTTGATTTGTCGTTTCTAAGAAACCTCTTTTGACAAGTGTTGTGTTGTGCTCAGGTGTGTTTGTGCGCGGCGTCCCGCTTTAGGAATGGCGTGAGAGGGCAGTTATTTACCCCTCTGTGCCTCTGCGCCCCGTTACTGCCCGCGGCTGCATGTTGAACGTTCTGGCCTCTTGACTTCAAGCTCGACTATTCTTAGCCACCGTATTTTGGGCTTAAGGTATTAGGATGCTAAGATTAGCCCCGGTTATCATTCCGTCTGAGTTAACTCCTCACATAACTACATACCGGAAGGCTTTATTTATAATGTTTTTCTGAGTAACAGCAGGAGAAAAAACATGAGCTTTTGAAAGTCAGAGAGTTGTGTCTCGGCTCTATTATTGCGTTCAGAGCACATGCTGCAGTATTTTTGGTGTCGATTGACACCTTTGGCCAGTGTTGTGGTTCTGTTTTGGTGGTCTGTGCTTTTTGCGGCCTGTGTATTCTGGGCCGGGGGCCCGATGGAGTCTCTGTGGCGAGAGATGGTTTCACAACGCCACGGTTTTTATTTCAACGCCTGAACGTGGACGTGATGCCGATATTCTGAGTCAAATGCTGCAACTGTCGCCTCTTACATAGTTACCCTCATAACCTACCGTCAAAGAATAACTGTGTGCGACCAGACGAAGGTTTCATTGCAGCGAGGATTTTCTTTCATAGCTCAGGAGACTTCATGGAGAGCTCGGTCATGTTTTATTTAAGAATCAACTTTGTCTTCTTGAGGACAAATAAAAATAGTCTCAAACGAGAGAATTATTGACATACTGTAAGAGTATGGAGATACAGTATGAAATGAATGAGTTCATATTGAGATTTCTGATCAAATCTGAGCACATCATTGAGATCTCTTCTGTATGGAAGCCCAATTCCCTTCACATTAGAAAAAGAGCATGATTTGGTAAATCATAATTATGAGATAGCATAAGACATAAAAAGTCCAAAATGTTTTGAAAGTTAGTTTTCTCTCATTTTTCTCTCATATTTGATCACTTTTTATCTCATAGGTCATAATTATGAGATCAAAATAAAAAAATATGACATGAAATTATGACATAAGTCATAATTATGAGATTTAAAAAGTCACAATTATGGCATACTAAGTCTTAATTATGAGATAAAAAGTCACAATTATGAGATACAAAGTAGAATTATTGACATACTAATAATTATGAGATAAAAGTTGAAATTATGACATACAGAGTCTTCATTATGCGATAAAAAGTCAAAATTATAACATTAGGTCATTATGAAATAAAAAGTCAAAATTATGACATACTAAATCGAAATTATGACTACTAAGAAGTCATACTAAGTGATAAATATGATTCATTCATTCATTCATTCATAATTATGGCAGTCATAGAGTCTTCATTATGCGATAAAAAGTCCAAATTATGACATTAGGTCATTATGAAATAAAAAGTCAAAATTATGACATACTAAGTCGAAATTATGACTACTAAGAAGTCATACTAAGTGATAAATATGATTCATTCATTCATAATTATGGCAGTCATTGTAATAATTATGAGATAAAAAGTCATTATGGCAGTCATTATGGCAAGTCATATTATGATAAAAAAGTCAAAATGATGACATACTGTCTTAATTATGATATAAAAAGTAAAACTGATGACATACTAAGTCAGAATTATGACATGAAAGGTCAAAATAATGTCATAATGTCGACTTTTGTCATAATTATGACTTTTTACCATAATTTTTGCCAGTCTCCACTTTAAGTCATAATTTAGATTTTCTCATAATTTTGACTTTTTCTCGTAATGTTATGTCACAATCTCAAATTTTGAGATTTCTTTTCCTCACAAGAAACATCTGAGAAACAATTGAGAATCTGATACTGAATACTGATATGTTGACATATTGATACTAAAAGAGATGAAATATTAAAATGTATCTCATTGTTGATTTTTCATTCTCCTGGTTGTGTTTTGTGGGCCTGATGAAGAACACATGAGGAAAGCAGGACATGCACTAATAGTTTTATTAGCGAGGAGTTTGTTTCGGGCAGCAGATTAAGGGCATGTTTACGAGTGAGTTTTTACAGCGCAGCTTTTTTAGGGCACGAGGCCAGATCATTCTTTTTCTAAACACACACACACACACACACACACACGTTGGTTTTTATGGTTTATGAGGACTCTCCATAGGCGTAATGGTTTTTATACTGTTCAAACCGTATTTTCTATTGCCCTACACCAACCCTACCCCTAAACCTACCCCTCACAGGAAACTTTGTGCATTTTTAGATTTTCAAAAAATAAGCCTTTATAAGCCTTTTAAATTACGGGGACACTCAAAATGTCCTCATAAATCACCTTCTCGTTGTAATACCTATGTCATACCCATGTCATTATACAAATTTGTGTCCTCATAAACCACATAAACATGCACACACACACACACATACTACACACAAACACGCCAAACACCTTTCCTTTTCTCGCTGTTTCGTTCACATGAGTAAAAATACATTAAGTGCAGCTCAAACGTGACTGTCACATGCTGTCTCGCTTTAGATTGAGCTCAAATAAAATTTGGGCCTCGAACGGGAGGTTGTTGAAATACCTCCGTGTTTATGCTCGAGGCATTTGAAATAGACCCCATAAAAAGACCCTCCCTGTAGATTATGCCCCTAATTGCCCTTGGGTTTATTTAAATTGGTCTTTTGATGCAGCTAACACTGCGATCCTTCATTTCGAACACAATCAGTTTGCAATCTGTATGAGCATTAAACCTGGGGTATGTGTACGGCATTTGTTGTGAATGCAAACTTACAAGCTCAGTTTCGCACATTGCACACTTAAATGTGTCAGAACACAATTCATAATGCAATGCAAGTTTGTGTATGTGATTGTAAACCATCTCTTTCAGGTCAACAGCTGTCATGGTGGAGCAACAGTTTGAAGAGAAGCTTGATGAGCAACTTAGTTAAAGTTAGTTAAACTGCTGACAGTGTTTACCAGAAGGTTGTTTTAGATGAAAATATTTGAGAAGCTAATTTAAAGGTCGCCTGAAATGCTTAGAAACACGCAGCGTTACTCTATGTGTTGACGTCATTTGAACTGAAACAGGAAGACAGGGCGGGACATATCAAGCAGCCCTGCCCCTTTTTAAAATAGCCAATAGCGTTCGT